CTAAACTTACTTTTAAATACACATAATTAACTAATTAGCAAACATGAACTGTTTTGTTTGTTTAGCATTATGACTTGTAGCTAGCAGTCACACAATGAGTTGATCTTAAAGAAGAAACAGGGAGGAGTAAATGAGGTATCTTTTTATTGTTGTTGTTAATCCTCACCCGAGGATATCTTTCCATTGATTTTTAGAGACAGTATAAAGGAGGGGAGAGACAGAGAGGAAGAAACATCGATGTGAGAGAGGCACATGTGCCTGACCAGGTGGGGGAGTGAGACTGCAACCAAGGTGCCTGCCCTTGTCCAGAATTGAACCCAGGGACCCTTCAGTCTGCGAGCCCATGACGCTCTATCCTCTGAGCCAAACAGGCTAGGGCAATAAGGTATTTTCTTTTATTGGCCACCATATTTTAATGTTCATTTGGGGAGTATGGTAGGGATCAATGTAAAAAGTTGTAGATGACTAGCATTGGCACTGCACTGCTGTCTGCACATATAGAAAACATGAAAAAGTCAGGTGTGGAACTCAAAGAAAACCAATGTTAGCAAATACGCCTCTCAAATACATTTCATTTAAAGTTTTCTTTCTCTAAAAATGTTCTTATGAAACTATAGAGATAATCACAAGAAGAGTACTACCCATCCTGGAAAACCATGTCATAGAAAGCATGAACAGAGAAAGAGAATATTTTTGTTAAATAAGACATCTAGCAAAGAACAGTCCATCTGTGATTCAATTGTCAGGAGATTATGAGATGTAAGACATCTAGAGCATGCTGGCAAAGTATTTCATAATCACTGAAGAAAATTAAAAAGAGAACTAACAAATTCTCCCAGTAAAGCACTAGTTATTTCTTAACTCTTAATTAAGAATGAAAAATACATAAATTGAAACTTGATTCAGATTTTATGTTCTAAGCCTGAAACTCTGCAGTTGAAAAAGGTTAGGTTCTCTTTGAACCTGAAAATATTTATTTAAAAACTCTCTCAACATGCAGAAAATATATATCTATGAATTATTTAAGGCCTCTCAAGCCTAAAGTGACCAGTGAAAACTTAGAAAATGTCAGTGCAAGTTCATTATCTTCTAAAATAGACTACACTGTGAGTTGAAAATAATAAACTTCCTGGGAAAATATATTTACTTTCACTAATAAAGGATTGAAAACATGAGAAGGCCCGTAGGAAGCCCCATATCACATTAATGAAGGCAAGGCACTGTAGAGCCTAGAGGTGTAGACACTGGATCCTGCTAAGAGGATCCCAGACTCATTGACATCAGGGCTAGTCATTGTCCTCCCTATATCACATCCTCCATATCTTATAAAATAAGGATGTATCACTACACTGTAGGACTTTCAGCAAGGATACATGGGTAGTAAACACAGTTCACATGACCCTCTAGTACATGGCCATACTTATGGATAAAGACCATCATGTGGAGTGTTGACTTCAACAGGATGGTTTAGGCACAATGTTTAGCTTGTTTATCTACAAATAGAAAATCATTTTCAGAGGTGATCATGATCAAGATCTCCCATTGTATTCTTTTATTAAAAATACATATTTTTATTTATTTCATAGAGGGAGGGAAAGGGAGAAAGAGATAGAAACATCAATGATGAGCGAGAATCATTGATTGGCTGCCTCCTGCACACCCCACACTGGGGATCAAGCCTGCAATCAGGGCATGTGCACTGACCTGGAATCAAACTGTGACCTCCTGGTTTGTAGGTTGACACTTAACCACTGATCCATGCCAGCCGAGTTCCCACTGTATTCTTACATTTGCTTTTTGTTTATCTTAAAACAGATAATATACTTTTTTTATACAACCTATGTAGGGGTCTCTCAGAAATGCATAATGGACATATAAATGTAACATTTTAGGTTAAGAGCCATTTAGACAAAGTTTTTCCCTCACCTTAAACCCATCATAACAGCAGCAAAGACATTTATATTTTCTTAATGCTAACGAGTCTGTCACAAGAAAATATGCTTCCTTCATGCTCTGTTAGAGATTAAGAAAGAAAGCTCTAATTCTTTACCCCTAAAAATGCATTATAGTGCTCAGATTCTCAAATGAGTATATAAAAAGGTATTTAACCCATAAAAACTAAAATATCATATATCAGCAATAGTATTATTTGGTTCTATTTTTAATAACTTATTTTTCAAGTACCTTATATTTTATATACAAAATTATCTGACAAAAATTATTTAATATTTTATATAAAAATATATGTTCCCTGATGCAAATAAAATAAAAAGTAATTATTATCTCTTTCATTTAATGGATAAAATTAACTGGTATACAGTATAATTTCATTTTATTTATGTTTTCCTCATAAAAGTGATCTTAAGAGGCACACAAAGATATATAAAGCCAACAAGAGACAATAATTAGGAGATATAATTTTTTACTTAAAATATTCTTTGGCTTTGAACATAATTTTTCCTCATCCTGGTATTTTTTCCTCATCCTCTGACTCTTAGTTACCTTTAACTTCTATTCACCCTTCAGGTTCTAGTTGAGGTGTGGGACCACACCTTGCTAGTAGGCTTCACATATATCACTAAATTAGAAACAAATACACTCTCTTGAGGGAGGCTCTACCACCTTCTCAGTAAAAACATGAAGAAAATATTAAAAGACATAACTCACAGCATAGTGATAAACTAAAATTCGAATAGAAGATCCTTTGAGAAAGTGGGAGGAGTTTCTGGTCATTATAAACACAATGGGGCTAAGGAGCTCCTGGTGATTACAATGTACTGACATCTTCCTCAAGTCCTACACAGATGTTAAGTCAGAAAACAAAGACTCCCTGCTTGGGTCCCTATCAAATACAAAAGTGACCGGCGTTGCTCTTTCTGGATGATACCATTGTTACAGGTAAGACCATTGTTGTTTCAACTTCATTTGCATCATATAATGCAAAGGACAGCCCACAACAAAGAATTATCCTGTCCGAAACGGCAATACAGTAGTCTCTGTCTCCCCTTACTGGTGATTTCACTTACCACAGTTTCAGTTACCATGGGCAATGTGGTTTGAAAATATAAAATAGAAATTCCAGAAATGAATAATTCGTAAGTTTTAAATGGGATGTCTTTCTGAGAATCGTGATGTAATCGCAAGCCATTTTGTTCCATTCTGCCCCCTATATGAATCATCCCTTTGTCCTCATATCCCCACTGCATATGCTCCTCTCACATTAATGTAGTAGCCATCTTAGTTATTATGTCAATTGCTATGATATCACAGTGCTTGTGTTCAAGTCACCCTCATTTTACTTCATAATGTCCCCAAAGCACAAGAGTAGTAATGCTGGCAATTTGGATATGCCAAAGAGAAGCCGTAAAGAGTTTCCTTTAAGTGAAAAGGGGAGTACAATAAAATAACATATTCTGAGTGTGTGAGAGACACCACATTTACATAACTTTTTATTTTATTTTAATAATAACTGTTTAATTTACTTATTTCTTAGATGGAAAGCTGGAAGGTTATTTGGGTAATGCCTACAATTATATATTATAACTTCATACATGTGGATTGATTAGGACCCAATACAATCTAAAATACAGACATTCAAAGACATTTCTTTAGTGTTCCCTCCATGAAAAATAGGGTGGAGACCCCACAAATGTAGAGACATTTCAAGTATACACCAACACACACCACAACTGTTGCAGCATTCATTTAATTCTAAAAGAAGAGGCATACTGCTCAGAAAAGGGGCAGAGATCTCCCAGTCTTCTTATCAAATGGGTCAGGAAAACCACACATTCAGCTAGATATTCAACAAACAGCAATGTTTGAACAAGTCTAAAACACTACACAGCTTGAGGATAGTAGGATAACTCATGTAGCCACCACTGAAAAAGGTATTCAACATGAATAAAATGTTTGAGGAAACAGACGTTCACCTCTTTTAATACCAAAGCTTTTTAAAAAATGTCTAATCATTATAAGATAAAACATTATAAACACATGCTACCCATTTGTATATGTAATTTCAGCTTATCTTGATGACACTGAGTCAGCAAAATAGACAATTATTAGAAGATGATGTGATTTAGTGACCTAGGCTGGGCTGGCTGCCCCTACACTAAATAGTCTTCAAGAGTATACTCTTCATAGTTTTTTCTATCTCCTTCCTTTCGAGCCACAATCTCTGAACTGCTAATTTGCTATGGGCTGGGAAACCAAATAATCAGTAAAGACTTCATGACTTAAGTAGGTTGCTCAAAGGCATTTAAAAAAAGAAAAAAAAAGATGATTCCAAGTTTCCCAGTTGTGTTGGTTTGATGAGACTGCCAGATTATCTCTGGATGAATGAGGCATTGCTGCACATAAATATTTAAACAAGTTCATTTGAATATTAACAAAAAGATAAAACTAAATATTAGTATCATTGCCCTTTTAAACAAAGTATTCTATAACTTCAAGGTAACACTGGGTTCCAGTTTCTTTACCCCGCCAGAGGTGAACATAAACAAATGTCCTATTAATAATATCAGTTTGTCTAAACAGAAAACAAATCTGAGGTGCAATCATGTCACAGTTAATGCATGTCTGCTTCCAATACATTCAAATACAGTATTTTTAAAATCAAAATTTAAAATAGGCCTTTTGAAGTCTGAGAATTCAAGATACTTGAAAAAATTTGTAAATACACATACATGCAAATTCTTCATATTTACAAATTTCACAAAATTAAGAAGTTGCAAAGAAATTAGAAGGATTATGGTGAATCTGACAAGCTACCTGTAAATGCTTTACCACTGACATATTCATGAATATAGCAGTCATAGTAGTTTTAATACATTTTCTACATGGCCTTTATATAAAATTTTCTCTTTTAGACATAAAAGTTAATCACTAGAAGTCTTCTGAAATCCTAATTTAAGAATTCAAGATGTTCTCAATTCACTACTCACATTTAAGGCCACTTTGGTAAAGGCATTGCAACAAGAACACAAAAACAATAGCACATTTTCTAATATTTATTTTTTTCACCTGCAAACTGTAGCAAAACATGATCAGCTTTATTATGCAGACAGGTATCCTCCTACATCTTTAAAGAATTTAGGCATGTATAAATAGAAGAGCTCTTTAGGAGGGAAAAATCCAAGACTGAATAAAACCTTCCACTTCCGACTTTGTAACTTTCCAGTAGCAATGGTTAAAATGATTTCAGGTCATTCATTCCGAGATACATGACAGCACCTTGAAAGTGGCTGATCTATTTTCCCAGTAACATTTTCCACATAACAATGTGTTAAAAGTTACAAATACTGATATGCACAAATAGCTAATTTCTAAGAAAAATATGTACAGTACTGCAGCACAATGAATGTGGTATCTGCAATAACTTAATATTAGCCAATTTTTAATATACATGATACCGCTACCTTTTTCTGCCAATTCACAGGTTAAAAGTTGTTACTGGAGCCCTCTGTTTTGCACATATTACCTGGTGTTTAATACACAATGCAGGCTTTTTAAAGACTTCTCTTGAGTTTAAAGCTAAGATCAGTGAAACAAGACAACAGTGCAAGAGGCGGAGAGATGTAATGTGACCATGTAAAAGTTCTTTCCAGTAAAGTGTCTATATAAGGCTATAAGAAAGGATTGGTTGATGAGCTTCCTGTTGGAAATTGTCCTGTCGGTGCACCAGTCATAAAAGGATTACTAGATACTCCAGCAGCTGCAACTTGACCAAAAGGGGTTACCATTGGCTTTGTTTGTCCAAATGCTGCAAAACCTGCACCATTGGGCTGTTGAGAAAAAGCTGTCTGTTGAGGGAAAGCTGCTTGGGCTGGGAAGGCAGGCTGCTGGAAGCTGCCACTGAAGCTGGTGGGAAGACTATAGGGTGCAGGCGTCCCGAAGCCCGCAGGCATGCTCATGGATGCGGTGCCAAAGGTCGCCGCTGTTGTTCCTCTGGCGTTGGTCTGAAATGGATTTGTAGAAGATGCCACAGAAGGACCAGCAGCAGCCACAAATGGATTTGTGGAAGGTGTAGCTCCAAATGGAGCAGGCACACTTGAAGATAGCAGGCTGTGTCTGTGCAGAAGCACCCACTGGTATTGTTCCAAAAACATTGCTGCTGGCATTACTTGTGGAAGTGTACGCATTATTGGAGGTGGCTGCAGAGCTGAAAACGCTGTCTAGTTCTGCCAGAGCTGCATACTTGTCTGAAGATGCACTTGATTGACTGGGAAGTGAAACCACAGAACTAACAGGAGCTTTACCTGCGGTCCCAAAGCCACTCCCCTGATCACCACCTTGTCCAGCACTGAAGATATTGTCTAAATTAGCAAGTGCTGCATATTTGTCTGCAGCCTGAAGACCAGCTTTATTTGTTGCAACTTTACTAACAGTTGTTGCTGTTTGATGACTCTGGGAAGTACTGAAGGTTCCAAAATCAGCACTGGAGGATTTGGGGAAGTTACCAAAATGAGCAAAATTAGCATTTACTGATCCAGCACTTCCACCTGTAGTTTGGGGCTGAAAAGGAGAGTGACTTGCTGTGGGGAAACCTCCAAAATTACTCGAACCACTAGACTGTCCAAATGCATCAAAGTTTGTAAAATCTGCATTTGCAGAATTCTGGGCTGCATGACTGTTGAAATGTGCAAAGTTAGCAAAATTGGCTGTAGCTGATGACTGAGAAGCTGGAGCAGCAAATATGTCTGAGCCAAGATCACTTAAAAGGTCAAACTTCTTTTCCTGCTGCTGTCCTTGAGAGCGACCTACAACAGGGGACTGACTAGGTGTGCCCTTGTTTAGGTGCAGGGCTGCTGCTGAATCTCCTAAAAGAGATTTCAGTGGTTTGACCTCAGGTGTGCTGCTTGTGCTACTGGCAGAGGAGCCTGAAATAGATGCATGAACAGATGCCACTACTTTGGCTTGTTCTGGTGGTACATACCATCTTTTCTTTTCATATTTTTCTTGTAGGAACTCTTTCACTTTTTGTGGATCCCTGAAGTCTGGAATTGCTGAAGATCTATCATCAAATAATCCTAGCCAAATCTGTTTACAGACTTCATTTCCATGTTTTAGTAGGAATTCAATTTCCTGTTGTGTGAATGTTGTCATGGAGATAGATTTCACCCTGTGTGGTGGATTTAACCCTCGCAGGCAGCCGGAGCAGGAGGTACAGACGAAGGAGCCCACCGTCAGGTTCACGTAGGTGGGGCCGCGCTGGTCGCAGTCGAAGCACTTTCCGTTGTGCGGGAGGCCGGTCACGTCCCGCAGCATCTTCAGGTGCTTCTCCTCCTGCTTCCGCTTGGCGCTGGCCGCCACGGTCGCGGCGCCCGGGGAGCAGGCTGGCAGGGCCGGGCGCCGGGCGGCGCTGCGCCGGGGGCCCGCGCTCCCACGGGCCGCCCTCGGTCCGCGCGCGCCCCCGCACCGGGCCGGCCTCCGCCGCCTCTCGAGTCCACTGGGCTGGGCGCGGCGCGAGCGCTGCGGAGCGCGGACTGACCGCCCACACCAACCGGCCCGGCCGGGACAACCGCCGCCGCCGCCACCTTCCCCTACATAACTTTTATTACAGTACAAGGTTCGGCAAAAGTAGGTTCCCAGTTGTGAGTATGCAAAACATATCTTATTCTCATATTAATTATTGATTATAGCATTATTTATTTATATCATGCAGTTATTGTGACATTCTCTTTTGAGCTGTTAAAGCCATTGTAATAATCATAACCTGCATGTCTTTTTCCATATGAACAATTATAAACCTACTTTTGCCCACCCCTGTTATAGTATGATGATTGGTCTATTTTATTAGTTATCATTATTAATCTCTTACTGTGTCTAACTTATAAGTTAAACTTTATGATACATATACAAAAAAACATATTTAGGGTTCAGTACTATCCAGAGTTGCAGACATCTACTGGGGATCTGGGAACATATCCCCTGTGAATAAAGCAGGGATTACAATAGTGCCGAAGTTGAGAAATCATAACTAGATTTTTACAAGGGTTATGTAACTATTCCTAATTTAGGGATAATTAAACTAGGGCTCTGAGAAGTTCATTTATGATCTAAAGTTACACGACTACTAAGTAAGATCATCAGACTCTTGCTGTTTTCACTACATGGATTACTTCTAAACCTACTATTAAGTAAGGTTGTTTAGACCAAATGCTAAGTGAGAAAAATTTGAAATGCCAGACTTGACATTGCATTTAAAGTATACAGGATATGAGACAAGTTGTGCTGTACTATTTGAAAAACACATGTAGTCTCATCCATAAAGAATGCTTTCTTGCCAGTGATATAGATGTTCATTTTCAGACCTATTTTTATGAACATATGCATTGTAGAAATGTCTGTATAAGTAAATAAATGTATTTTATAGTACAACTTTATGTTTGCAAATTAAATTTTATACCATACCTATATGTCCTACAAATAAATAATAGTCACTTTGTAATAATCATTCTAAAGTAGTAATAGATCTATACATATTTTCTAGGTACCCCCTATATTTCCATGTTATGGGCTAAATTACATCTCCCCAAATTTTCTCTGTTGGAGTCCTAAACCCAAGTACCTCAGATGTGATTGTATTCAGAGATAGGTCTTTAAACAGGTAATTAAGTCATAATGAGGTCATTAGGGTAGGCCCTAATCTATATAACTAATGTCACTGCAAGAGATTAGGACACAAAGACACATATGAAGACACAGGGACAAGACAGCCATCTACAAAAATGGAGATATCTCTGAAGAAACCAACACTCCTTACACCTAATCTAGCCTGTCTAGCTCCAGAACTGTGAGAAGTAAATTTCTTTTGCTTAAACCACCCATTCTGTGATGTTTCTTATGGCAACCCTAGCAAACTCGTTCTCTTCCAACTCATTACAGATCCATGTATACTTCAGATGCAGTAAATACTACTGGCATATTCCCAAGTACTCCTACATTATTTTCCTTACATTTACTGTCACATAACTTCCCCTTCATTAAACCCCAGCATGAGATCTCTTGCCATCAAATATCTGTAAGAAGTGAGTAGAAAATGGCAAAGTCAGTAGCTGTCATTTGACTTGATATAACAGATTTTCGAACATGTTTCTATGGTAGTTGATCCTTAGTTAAAGACAAATAGACATTTAAGAGAATAATTTTTCCCTAAAATATTAGTAAACTATGAAAACTCAAAGAACACTGACTATATAACTCAAGACATACTCTCAAATTAGTACTCCACCCTCTAGTGGAAAATGATTGGTGATATTTGTTGTCTTACCAAAAATATCCCTTTTATCAGTATATTTGTCTTTTAAGACTTATTAAAAGAGTGGGATGTGCTTTTGGCCTGTCACAAACGAAAGGGATATTCTGGGCGATTAGAGAACAGAGGTATCTTCTTGGTTTGCAAAAGTGTTTTTTTAAAATGTTAACTGAAATAGAATTTTCTAAAACTGAATTGATAAGATGTTATGTTAAACTTAACATATTTAACATATCTAGCATTTTTCAAAATAAATAAAATGGGAGGGAGATGATACAAAATAACTTCTAGTCACGTCAAGTGTTTAACATGTTAACTCTGAGTACACCAATTTAACAATTTGAGAATGAATATTAAATACTGATGACATGAACTTTATATTTTAGATTATAGTTTATGTGCTTTCAAATAAAAGAAAATAAAATATCTTCCTAACTTTGAGTAAAATACCAGCTCATGACTGTAAAATGAAGCAAATTGTTGCTAAACCAAAATTAGAAAATTATTTTATTTGCTTTGTCATTTATAATATGACAAATCATCACTTAACCTAGGATACAATAAAACTTGGAATAAAAAGAAATTAATATTATTCAAAGTTCATAGTACACCTAACAATTGCCTAATTTTATTCAGATTATACATGTCCAAAACAATCTTTGTGGAACCTCCCCCAAATTACCTGTTTTCTACAAGTTCTTATTAAAATAAAGTCATTTAATATATATTTAGCATCTACCAATAATTTTTCCTCCCTATAAGAAGGTAATTCATGAGATTTGAATTATATCTAACACTAAATACGCTCCTGAATTATTAATTTCAATTATTTTTTCTTTTCGTTAAGAAATAATGTTCAGGCCTCCTAACGCAAACATTTTAGCCTATCCAAGCTAGATTTGAAACTTACTTTTGACAACTGCACCCACCTCCACTTTCACAATTTCAGTCCCTGCTTGCCTATTATATTTTCCACTTCTGCAACGTCTCTCTTTATCACCACACATATTTCTTCTCTTTTTTTTTAATTGATGTCACAAGACTTTTAAAGGCAAGCTTTCTCTCATATGTCAAACATAATTTAACACTAAACTTGATACAGCAGTAATATCTGAAATAATTTTGAGCTCAAATCCTTCATGGCATTAAGAGAAGAAAAATGGCATAAGTTCTCCATTACAAATATTAACTGCACACTATAGAAAGATAACTATTGCAAATGCCAACTTCCATAATTATAAGTATTTGCATAAATACTTGAGAATTTCATTAATAATCTGATTACACAACAGATGGTACCTAAAAAAATCCTTTGAAACTTACAAGAGATAAAAATGTAGTACTTCTTGTTTCAGCTCATTGGTGCAAAGAAGGAATGCACATTGCTTCCAGCATTACAAGAAGGAAAAAGCTAGAGATAGGAAAATTAACAACTTTTTACAAAATCTATTAGGGAACTGAGGTCACAAAGAAAATAATAGGGAACCCAAAATATATTGCCATGGCTGTGTGATTTTCAAATATTAAGTTTGCATAAAGAATCAGCCTGAGAGTGTGCCTTCTCCAGAGCCACCCCAGAAGAGGTAACCCAAACTGGAGGAATTCTTTCCCCTAAACCCTACATGGCTGGCCATTAGGATTATGGCCTCCCAAGGGCAGCTCAACAGCCACATGGAGACCTACCACCAAGAGCCACAGGCCAACTTTCTACCCAGCTTTGCCCTGCACCATCTATGAGGTCGTCACCAAGAACATGTAGCAGACATCCATGAATCAGACAGGCTAGAACGGCATCATCATGGAGGAGCCCTTCAGGAGGAACCTAAATGCACTCCAACCAGCTTCCCACCCATATCTCTCCCCTATTCTGCGAGGATTAGATCTACCGCATCAACCGCTACCTGGACAAGAAGATGGTCCAGAATCTCATGGTGCCGAGGTTTGCCAACAGGATCTTGGCCCTGTCTGGAGCCAGGACAACATCGTCAACAGCACCCTTACCTGCAAGGAGCGTTTAGGTACTGAGAGCTGCGGAAGCTACTTCGATGAATTTGGGCTCATCCTACAGGTGATGCAGAACCGCCTCCTGCAGATGCTGTGTCTGGTGGCCATGGAAAAGCCCGTCTCCACTGACTCAAAAGAAGGCCAACGTGTTGAAATGTATCTCAGAGGTGTAGGAGAACAACGCTGCCCTGGCCCGTGCAGGGGGAATCTAACAGAGGACGAAGCCACCGAAGGGTACCTGGACCTTCGTGCAGAGCTGCCCTTCATCCTCCTCCGCTGCAAAGCCCTGCATACGTGCAAGACTGAGCCGTGGCTGCAGTTCCACGACGCTGCTGACAGCTCCCAGCAGCGCGCAAGGGCAGTGAGCTGCAGGCCCGTGGGCAGTGCAAGGGCCTGCACAGCCACAGGAGGGCCAGGAAGCCCGGCGGGTTCTTCCGACCCAAGGATTCAGAGCCGGACCTGACACGCCGCAACAGTAACAAGAAATGAAGCTCCCCTGTCCGTTTGAGTGCCTCGCGCTGGACTAATGTAACGGAAGCCACGGTGTGTGCCTGTGTGCCCGCGTGCCGTGAGGCGCTCCGGCCCACCTGGCAGGTCTTTACGCCACTGCTGCACCAGGCGGAGCCTGGGAGGCGCGCCCCGGGCCTACTTTATGGCAGCGGAGGCAGACAAGCTGAAAAAGAGGGAGCTTCCTCTACCAGGACGCCTGCAAGTAGGTGAACCCCCCAAAGCGGGGAGTCCCTGGACCCCCAAACTCTATCTCTGCTTGGTCCTGTCTGTCGCTGTAGCTCCCAGCCCCCGAGGATTTCGGAACCACGCTCAGGCCCTGGCTGGGTCCTCGGTGCATAGAGTGTCCTTTCCAGGCACCAGGGTTGCAGGTCCCATCCAGGTCAGGGCACACACAAGAATCGACCAATGAATGCATAAATATGTGGAGCAACAAATCCACATCTCTTTCTCTCTCCCTCCCTCAAGCCCTGCCCCCTCTCTCATCAATTAAAAAATAAATAAAAATTTACAGCCTGCCCAGGCCAACCCCGGTTGC